ACCCACGGGCGCTGCCCATCAGAAACTGCTTCTGCATCAAAACCTGCATCAAAGGGCCCCCCCCCCCCCCCCCCCCCTCACCGCTGGAAGTGGTAGTTGCGGCGCAGGCGCAGGCGGCGGCGCGCCGGGTCCTCGACAGCGTCCAGCTTCCAGTGCAGGTCTGCAGGTGGCGGCAGGCGGGTGGTGGTATGTGTGGTGGTGGTGGGGCCCTTGCAGTGTGTGCAGGTGTGCATGTGCGTGTGCGAGCGTGTGAACGGCAAGGCAGCAGGCTGCCCAGCAGGTGCCAGGCCTGCTCTGGGGCTGGGGCCGAGGGGGTCAGGCGACGGCAGGAGGCGGGAGGTGCAGACGTGGCGAGCAGGGTGTCTTCTCACCCTCGGGACGCTCCTCCTCAGCCCACAGACCCCGCCCGCTGGTCAGAGCGCGGCGCAGGTCCCGCCACTGCCGCCGCCGCTGCTGGCCGGCCTCGTCTTCGGCCTGGCGCCGTGCGGCGCGGCGCAAGCGGTCGGCCGCCAGCAGCACGCCCAGCCACTGCCGGCTGGCCTCGTCGGCGGCGGCGGCGGCGTGGCGCTGCGCGGCGGCCGCCTCGATCAGGCCCTGCTGCAGCTGCGGGGCAGCTGCCGCGTGCAGCCCCGCGCAGTGCCGCATGAACAGCAGCTGCTGGCGCGCCGCCGACGCCACCAGCCGCGGCTGCAGCAGCGGCAGCATCTCTTGCATTGCCCGCTGCGGCTGCTGCTGGCCTGCAGGCTGGCTCTGGGCTCCGCCGGGGGACTGCGGCTGGGCCGAGGGACCTTCGCCAGGCAGCAGCCCAAAGGCCGTCGGCGCCGCGGCGACCACCGCGTTGGCAGCCACCACGCAAGCCTCCAGGCGCTGCTGCAGCTGCAGGGGCAGCAGCTGCTCCTGCAGCTTCGCGGCAGCTGCCCTGGCGGCGATGCCGCGGTAGCACTGCACGATGGCTGCCAGCAGCAGGTGCACGCGGGGCACCGCCGCCTCGACTGCCGCCGCGTCCCCTGCAGTAGCGCTCGCCTCGGCCAGCAGCAGCGGCAGCAGCTCGGCGGCCTGCTGCGCCGCCTGCTGCGCCGCCTGCGGCGGCGAGTGGTGCAGCGCCAGCAGCAGCAGGCGCTGCAGCAGCAGCAGGCCGCGCTCCCGCTGGTGCGCCGCCAGCTGCGTCTCGCTGAGCCCCACCACCATGGCACCACCGGCGGCGGCGCCGCCGCCACCGCCGGCAGAATTCGCGCCGCTGCTGTCCCCAGCGGCAGCAGCACCCACCCAAGTGAGGCTGCCCGCGCTCCTGGCCGCCCGCAGCAGCGTCGCCACGGGGGACGAGGGCGAGGCGGCGTCGGTGGCGGCCGCCGCCGCGCCGCCGCTGCCGTGCAGCCGGTCCAGAAGCGCCAG